AAACGGAGCTGGAGGAAGCAGGCTCCCTGACTTCAGACTATATTACAAAGCTACAGTAATCAAGACAGTATGGTACTGGCACAAAAACAGAAATATAGATCAATGGAACAGGATAGAAAGCCCAGAGATAAACCCACGCACATATGGTCACCTTATCTTTGATGATAAAGGAGGCAAGAATATACAGTGGAGAAAAGACAGCCTCTTCAATAAGTGGTGCTGGGAAAACTGGACAGGTACATGTAAAAGTATGAGATTAGAACCCTCCCTAACACCATACAAAAAATAAGCTCAAAATGGATTAAAGACCTAAATATAAGGCCAGAAACTATCAAACTGTTGGAGGAAAACATAGACAGAACACTCTATGACATGAATCACAGCAAGATCCTTTTTGACCCACCTCCTAGAGAAATGGAAATAAAAACAAAAATAAACAAATAGGACCTAATGAAGCTTAAAAGCTTTTGCACAGCAAAGGAAACCATGAAAAAGACCAAAAGACAACCCTCAGAATGGGAGAAAATATTTGCAAATGAAGCAACTGTCAAAGGGGTAATCTCCAAAATTTACAAGCAGCTCATGCAGCTCAATAACAATGTTTTGACATTGTTATTGTCAATAAGACAATAACAATTCTTATAACAATACTTATAACAATAAGAATGCTCAACATCATTAATCATTATAGTAATGTAAATCAAAACTACAATGAGATATCATCTAACAACAGTCAGAATCGCCATGATCAAAAAATCTAGAAACAATAAATGCTGGAGAGGGTGTGGAGAAAAGAGAACACTCTTGCACTGCTCATGGGAATGTGAATTGGTACAGCCACTATGGAGAACAGTATGGAAGTTCCTTAAAAATCTACAAATAGAACTACCATATGACCCACCAATCCCACTACTGAGCATATACCCTGAGAAAACCATAATTCAAAAAGAGTCATGTACCAAAATGTTCATTGCAGCTCTATTTACAATAACCAGGAGATGGAAGCAACCTAAGTGTCCATCATCAGATGAATGGATAAAGAAGATGTGGCACATATATACAGTGGTATATTACTCAGCCATAAAAAGAAATGAAACAGTTATTTGTAGTGAGGTGGATGGACCTAGAGTCTGTCATACAGAGTGAAGTAAGTCAGAACGAGAAAAACAAATACCGTATGCTAACACATATATATGGAATTTAAGAAAAAAAACAAAAAAGGGTAATGAAGAACATAGGGGAAAGACAGGAATAAAGACAGAGACCTACTAGAGAATGGACTTGAGGATATGGGGAGGGGGAAGGGTAAGCTGTGACAAAGTGAGAGAGTGGCATGGACATATATACACTATCAAACTTAAAACAGATAGCTAGTGGGAAGCAGCCGAATAGCACAGGGAGATCAGCTCGGTGCTTTGTGACCACCTAGAGGGTGGGATAGGGAGGGTGGGAGGGAGGGAGATGCAAGAGGGAAGAGACATGAGGACATATATATGGAATTTAAAAAAAAAATGTCATGAAAAACCTAGGGGTGAAACAGGAATAAAGACACAGACTTACTAGAGAATGGACTTGAGGCTATGGGGAGGGGGAAGTGTAAACGGTGACAAAGCGATAAAGAGGCATGGACATATATACACTACCAAACGTAAGGTAGATAGCTAGTGGGAAGCAGCCGCATAGCACAGGGAGATCAGCTCGGTGCTTTGTGACTGCCTGGAGGGGTGGGATAGGGAGGGTGGGAGGGAGGGAGACGCAAGCGGGAAGAGATATGGGAATATATGTATATATATAACTGATTCATTTTGTTGTGAAGCTGAAACTAACATACCATTGTAAAGCAATTATACTCCAATAAAGATGTTAAAAAAAAAATAAAAAAATAAATTGATTTTGCATGTTGAATTTTCTTTAATTAACATATAATTATTATTAGAACAACCGGTACACAAAATAGCCAATTCCTTGTTTTGGTCACACAGTTTTAAGTGATGTCTTCTGTTTTTGTCAGGTGTTATTTTCACTAAATGAGCTCCTAGATTTCTTGGGATGCTCTATAACTTGGATCTCTGTTGTGCTATTAATATCTTCTGCTATGTTTGAGCATGTGTGTCCACAGGTTGTTATGAGGTTTATACCTGAGTGATATGTTCTAGGTACCCTGTTAGCACCTTATGCCTATGCAAGACACAGGTTGTATTTCAGTTATGCTTATACTCTCTTCTAGAAAGTATGATGAAGTTTGTAATATTTCCATCACCACAATCACCTGTCTTCTGAGATTTTCCTCATGTTGAAATGGAAGAAGTGTCTCTGTTACTTTCAGTAGAAATCCTTATATTTGTGCTCTGGAACATAGTCTGTTCACCTTCTCATGAATTTTCTCTTTATAGATATTCCCTCCCCCCCCTTTTTTTTTTTGGCTGCACCACATGGCATGTGGGATCTCAGTTCCCTGACCAGGGATTGAACCCCCATCCCCGCATTGGAAGTGTGGAATCTTAACCACTGGATTGCCAGGGAGTCCCCTTTTTTTCCTCCCTCTTTCAAAATTATTATATTCTTCAACAAAGACAGTGACTAATATTTCCCATATCAGAAAAAATTTAATTTGTTGAACCCACTTCTCTGATGACATAAGGCACCATTTTTCTCATCTTTACTTCAGGTACTATTATCCGATAAAGTCTCAGGACTCATGGGTTTCCTATATTCACATTCAATATACTTTAGAATCCACTACAGTAAAACTTCCATCCTTTCATATTTTATTGAAACTACTCTTTTCAAATTAACCAATGATGTCCATCCTGTCAAATCCAATTCAGCCTTTACTAACCCCACTAAACTTAATAAATTTTACCTCAGCTGTCCACTTAGAACACTCTTTTCTTGACTTCTATGCCTCCTCTCCCTCCCAGTTTTCCTTCTCCCCTGGGCTGTTCCTCTCCTTTTGCTGGTACCTTCTCCTATTCAGATGCTGGACTGCTTTAGACTTAAAAGATTGGATGTTGTACTGCTCAATCTTTCCCTTCCTTTTCTCTTACAATTCTCTCCCAGATGAGATTGTTCCCATTATTTTACATTTAGGCTGATCTACCTCAAATTTATATTTCCTGTTCAGAAAGTACACTTGAACTCCACACCCATTTCTAATTTTCTTCTTTTTATTCCATATGTTTATTTAATTGACATCTAAGATATAACATGTCAAAATAATTGATTTCTCCCAAACTCTTTTTCTCCCAAAGGGAATCTTTCCCCTAACTTTTTATCCAGCTCCATGAATGGGTTTATTAATTATATGCTAGATCAAATATACAGATACAACACAAAAATTGAGTCATTTGTAATTTCTTCTTTTTACCAATGCCACTACAACAAAAAGCTTTATAGGTTGCAGTCAATATATAGCACTATTTTATACACTTCATTTTCTTCTAATTTTTCCACTTTTGTCCATGATGACATCATTTCTTTTCTGAATTGTTTTTAACATTCTATAATCCAAGATTCAAAGCAGCCACTGTCATTTTTCCAGAATGTAAATAGATCCGTTATTTCCTTTGTTAAAAATGTTTTCCCATCGATTTTATAAAAAAAAATAAAACTCTTTACCATGTGCTATAGGACTTGCTTGTCCTATGCCCTAGCCATCCACTTCATTCATTCTGCCAGCTACACTGAAACACCTATCTGTTTTTAAACCAAGTCAAGCTTTTTCTTTAATTTGGATCTTTACACTTTAGTTCCCTCTATTCAAATATTCTGCCCCTTGCACTTTTCACATAATAGTTCATCTTTTTTTCTTCAGGTGTAGATGAAATGTCACTTAAGCTAAGATTAATGATGAGGGAAGAAGTATTAGAGGTTTGAGGAGAAAAAAAAACTCATTAAATTGTTTTAGGAATAGTTTGGAACATTTCTAGAACATATGATGATTGTTGACTATATTATTTATTCACATTTATGTTAATTAACTACTGCTGAATAATGTAAAACCCCAAAACTCAGGGTATAGGAAAAAGGCATGTATAACCATGGTGTATGTGTCTGTGAGTTAGCTGAGGAACAGCTGAACTAGGCTGGCCTCTTTGCCAAGTCTGCTAATCTCCAGGACATTCATTCCTACATTTGCTCATTTACTAGGTAGCTCTACTCTAGGATGGGAAGCTGACAACTCTGACTTGAGGTCTCATCTTTCTTCTGGGAACCAGTGGTCTAACCCTGGAATGTGCTTCTTATGGTAGTGGCAGAGCATAAGAGGAAACATTTAAAGTCTCATGAAATCTAGACCCAAATGTGGAACAGAACACCATCACTTTCAACTCATTCTATTGCCAAAGTAAGCTGGAGACCAAACCTAATAGAAGAGAGCCCTACAAAATTACATGAACTAGTGAGGGAAGAAGATTTGTGGCTGAGGATGCAACCTACTTCCTGTTTATTTTCTCATTCTTTGACCAAACAAGTTGCTAGGTGATGGAGACACAATGGTCATTAATTAAAATGTTTTGTTTTTCATTTTGTATTTATCTTCAAACCTCAGCTATGATGAAATTCCAAGATAAATTAATCTTTGACATCTGTTATCCTAAAAACATTGTACATATAGCAATGAGAAGTTTCATTAAAGGTTTAATTTTTTCTTAATGTACTATGGTCTTCACAGAGGCAGTTTTTTTTTAATCCTTCCCTTATTAATTACTGTGTTTTTGCTATCTACTACCTACTATTTTATTCATGGAGTTTAGTGTTTTGATTTTTAACTTTTTGAATTAGTAATTGAATTAAACCTTAATTAAGGACTGACAAAAAAATAATTGATATCATTTCTATGCAAATATAAAACAGGTGGACAAATCTTAAGGGCCAAATATGGGAAGTAAAAATACATATTTCAATATTTGAGTATAGTAGATTTAATACCTCCCTTGGTTCAGTTTTCTTTTCTTCATTATAGCATCAAGTAAAAGAGTATCCAATTTTTTTTTCTCTAGATACTTCATCGACTACAATGCTGAAGATGACAGGTTTTTCAACATTGATGCCAACACTGGGACCATTAAGACTACCAAGGTTCTTGATAGAGAAGAAACTCCATGGTACAACATCACAGTTGCTGCTTCAGAAAATGGTAAATTTCTTTACATTATGTACCATAGGAAAGATGTCACTTATACATGAAGATTTATGCTGAGACTTTCTCTGGAGCAGGGCTATCATGATTTCTATTTTTTATGCCATGATCTAGCAGAGTGCACAGAATGTAGTAGATACAGTTACTCATTGTCAGATGCAGTGAATAAAGTGTATACCTTTTTCTTTACTTTAATCCCCACATAGTGGTGAAAAATTGGCATCACAGAACACTTAGCCTGCATCACTGAGTCAAAATATTTCATTCTCTTCTTAATTATGAGACTTGCTTTGTCATGTGCTTATGTCTTACTTAAGTAGAAGAAGAATACTTCATATACGGTGGAGCAGTTTAGGAATATAAAGAGAAGAAACGAAAATCTAACATTTTACTTGAATAATTTTATCAATATAACACCCTTCCTCAAGCTTCAATTAACACTTAGAAATTTTATAGCAAAAGAATAGCTCTTGGAATTTCAACAGGCAGGTCTAAGTTCTTTTCAAGAGACGCACATGGTATACAACTGAGGAAGGCCATTGTTCCATCCTCATCCAGAGCATTGCATTGTGCTAAACACCTAAGATTTTTTAAAAAAGCATAAATGTCAACAATTATCTCTGAGTTAAAAAAGATGTACATAATTGTCTTCAAATGAAATTAGAATAAAGCTTTAGGAAAATGGACTACTGTCAAGAAAATGAAGTCTTTCTTTAAATGTTGAGAAATAAGTGAAAGGTACAAATAGCCCCAAGTTTAGTATTATATATACTATAATAAAATTTAGTATAGTATACCCAGCTTACATATACATTTTAAAAGATTCCAACATACTCATGAGTGAACTATAAATGTTAAAATTTAGGAAAACTTCATGTTAGAAAATAAAGCTATGTAAAATAAAATTATGCTTTCTCTTTCTTTTGCCCTCAGAAGGTATAAGACATTTTTAAAATATTAAAACTTCATTTAGAAATAGTTTACATACCATACCATTCATCTTTTTAAGGTGTATAGTTTAATGAGTTTTAGTAAATTCAGAGCTGTGCATCAATCACCACAATTGATTTTAGAATATGTTCATTACTTCAAAAGGAAATCCCTGGGCTTCCCTGGTGGTGCAGTGGTTGAGAGTCTGCCTGCCGATGCAGGGGACGCAGGTTCGTGCCCCGGTCTGGGAAGATCCCACATGCCGTGGAGCGGCTGAGCCCATGAGCCATGGCCGCTGGGCCTGCGTGTCCGGAGCCTGTGCTCCGCAACGCGAGAGGCCACAACAGTGAAAGGTCTGCGTACCGCAAAAAAAAAAAAAAAAAAAGAAAGAAATCCTGTCCCCCTTAGTCATCACTCTCTACTCCCCCTTCCCCATGCGTCAACCCAAGAAGCGACTAATCTAATTTTTGTTTCTATAGATGTCTTAGTCTGTTTAGGCTGCTATAACGAAATATCATAAACTGAGTGCTTTAAACAGCAAACATTTTTTTCTCACAGTTCTGGAGTCTGGAAATCCGAGATTAGGGGCCAACAGATTTGGGGTCTGGTGAGAACCCACTTCCTGGTTCATAGATGGCTGTCTCCTAGTGGTGTACTCACATGGTAGCAAGGGCAAGGAATCTCTCTGGAGTCTCTTTTATAAGGGTACTAATCTCACTCATGAGTGGTCCACTCTGAATTTTGGGGAGACATAAACATTCAGTCTATATTGATAGATTTGCCTTGCATTGGTATTTCATATAAAATAATCAATAACACATGGTCTTTGTGACTGGCTTATTTCACTTAGCATGATATTTTCAAAGTTCATTTACATTGTAGCATGTATCAGTATTTCCTTCTTTCTTATTGCTAAAAAATATTCCATTATATGGTTATACTACATTTTATTTATCCATTCATCACTTGATAGATGTTTGGGTTGCTTCCACTTTTTGCCTAATTTGAAGAATGCTCTTAAGAGCATTAATATGAATGTTTCTGTGTGGATGAGTTTTCATTTCTTTGAGATATATACCTAGGAGTGGGATTGCGGGGTCATAAAGAAACTATATTTAAAATTTTGATGAACGGCCAGACTGTTTTCCAAAGTGGCTAAATTTTCCATTCACAACAACACAATATGGGGGTTCCTATTACTCTATATTATTACCAGTTTTTATTATTACATACTGACCATAACCATTCTAGTGGTTGTGGGCTGATAGCTCATTGTGGTTTATGTTCTTTTATAATGTCTTTTATCACAAATCAGTAATTAAACTACTCCAGTCTTTTTTTTTTTTTTTAAATCTCCCTCATCCCATTTCTTGGTATCTGCTATTTTTTTAAAATTAATTAATTAATTAATTTATGGCTGTGTTTGGTCTTCGTTTCTGTGTGAGAGCTTTCTCTAGTTGTGACAAGCGGAGGCCACTCTTCATCGCGGTGTGAGGGCGTCTCACTATCACGGCCTCTCTTGTTGCAGAGCACAGGCTCCAGATACGCAGGCTCAGTAGCTGTGGCTCATGAGCCCAGTTGCTCCACAGCATGTGGGGTCTTCCCAGACCAGGGCTCGAACCCGTGTCCCCTGCATTGGCAGGCAGATTCTCAACCACTGTGCCACCAGGGAAGCCCTACTCCAGTCTTTTCTATTCCACCTGAATTTTTCATGTTTCTCATCTGAAAAATCAACTCAAGTGGTTTCCATTTAGATATTTTTTCAGCACAGTATTTCCCTTTGAAAATAAGCATTTTCAAAGGGAAATACTGTGCTGAAAAATTACTTTTAAATGAGTGTTATAAAGAATACATGAGTGAGTTCATTTTTTATAATTCTGGTTAATTTTCATTTTCAAAATAATCAGACTAGGTCTAGATTTGCATGTTCTTAGTTACCCAAGTACAATAAAATAGCTGTCAAATGATAAAGGCTCGTTTAAAATTAGTTTTAAAATAAAAGAATAAATGGATTGATATACTGAAGTAGATGTGATGGAGACATTGAAAAGTTTCCAAAAATATTGTGTAGTCCTTCTTGAGAACAGGTTCCATGTACAGAAGAAGGAAGGGAAGAATTCCTGGGGAGAATGATATTTGCTTGTCAGAAAGAATAAGGACTTATTTTAAAATAACATCAAGTTCAACTCCAGAGGTATTTTGATCAGAAGCCATACTTTAGATCACTTCTAAATCTCACCTCAGCCCAAATAATATTTGTATCAAGTAGAAGCTAATTTATAAATATACATGAGTTCAAGTATATCATGAAAATTATATTATTTGCAATCATTACTAAAGGAAATATTCATTTTTACTAAAGTAACGTCTTAAATATGTACTTACTACGTTCTTTTTCTTTTCTTTTCTTTCCTTTTTTTTTTTTTTTTACTATCTGCTAGTATTTCATATGGGAAATGAGTTAATACACATCTACTAAGTAAAACAGTACAGTAAAGAGTAACATCCTGAATTTTATAGATGGTAATAAAGAAGCCTTAGAGACTCCTCAATGAGCACTACTAAAATATAATTTAATCCTAATCATAAACAGGTATGTAGAAAGAACGAGCACTAGTTAAGACTTTATAGCCATATTGGGAGGCTGTGTCTGGAAAAGCTCACATTCACTTACTGATTGCTTAGCCTAAGTGCCTATAAAATAGAGTTGGGTGCCCTTCCGCGTACAATTGTTTGTAAGCATTTACTTTAACATGAGCCATGTCATCAAAGTATTTTCTATTTTGGATACTTTTTCTACAGGATATTTTTAAAGGCTTTATTTTGTTTAGTGCAGTTTTAGGCTCATAGCAAACTTGAGAGGAATGGACAGAGACTTCCCATATATTCTCTGTACCTGCACATGCTTAGCTTTCTCTGCTATCAACATTCCCCCACCAGAGTGATACATTTGTTACAATTGATGAACCTACATTGACACATCATAACCAACCAATGTTTATAGTTTAATTTAGGGTTAACTCCTTATTCTATGGCTTTGGATAAATGTATAACAGCATAAACCCATCAATATAATATCATACAGAGTAATTTGAATGCATTAAAAATCTTCTGTGCTGTACCTGTTCATGTCTCCCCATCCCTACCCCTGGCAACCACTGATCTTTTTATTGACTCCATAGTTTTACGTTTTCCAGAATGTCATGTAGTTGAAATCATACAGTATGTTAGCCTTTCAGGTTGGCTTCTTTCACTTAGTAATATGGATTGAAGTTTCCTCCATGTCTTTTTATGTCTTGATAGCTCATTTTTTTTGTACTCAATAATATTCCATTGTCAGCATGTACCAGAGTTTATCCATTCATCGTCTGAAGATGAATTCATCTTGGTTGTTTCCAAGTTTTGGCAATGATGAAATAAAGCTGCTATAAACATCCATGTGTAGGTTTTTTGTATGGCCAGAAATTTTCAGCTCCTTTGGTAAATACAAAATGTGCACTCCTTGGATCATATGGTAAGAGTATGTTTAGTTTTATAAGAAATTGACAAAACGTCTTTTGAAACAGCTGTGCCAGTTTGAATAGCCACCAGATATGAATGAATAAGAGTTCCCATTGTTTCACATCCTAACCAACATTTGGTATTGTCAGTCTTCCCTGGATTTGGGCCACTCATAGATATGTAGTAGTATCTTGCTTTAATTTGCACTTTCCTGATGACATATATGTGAAACATGTTTTCATATACTTATTTGCCATGTGTATGTTTTCTTTGGTGAAGTATCTATTAAGGTCTTTGGCCCATGTTTTAATCAGGTTATTCGTTTTCTTAATGTTTAATTTTGACTCCTTTGCATGTTTTGTGTAACTAATTTATTAGATATGTCTTTTGCAAATATTTTCTCCCAGTATGTGTCTTATCTTCTCATTCTATTGACGTTGTCTTTCAAGAGCAGAAATGGGATTTTCTAAAATCTTAATGTAACAGTTTTGAGGAGACTGTTGTTCTACGGAATTAAAATTAGAAGTTAAGGTTTTAAAATACTTGTTTAGCCTACCTAGGGGTTA